ATCTATTGACGTCTCCTCTTTATTGCTTGACAAGAAAGAAGAAGACAGCAAGTGCCATAGCGATAGGGATAACGATCTCTATCCGTTACAGAGTTCCAGCCCAGGGCTGGGACTCTGTAACGAATAGAGATATTCTCTCTATCTCTATTGACGTCCCCTCTCCATTGATTTCGATAAGAGAGAAGAAGACGGCGACTGCATTAAGCGATAGGGATAACGATCTCTATCCGTTACAGAGTCCCAGCCCAGGGGCCTTATTCTGTAAGAAACGGACCGTTCGATTCGGTAGATATTCTTCCATTGTGACGTCATTTTTGGTTTGGTAGCGCGAAAACCAAACCACAAATGACGTCACAATCGAAGAAATTCTACCGAATCGAACGGTTCGTTCCTTACAGAATAAGGCCCCTGACTACGTTGATGTGAAAGGTGAATCAAGAAAAAAAAAACGCAAAAAGGCCCACAAAAACTTTATTTTTAGAAATAACCCCATCATATGCTATACCATTAGAATGGTAATAAAATTTTCTATTCAATGGAGATAAAATTGAGTAAGGTTTTCATTTGAAAAAATATAAGTTTATGTCACATGTCAAAAATGACAGGTTCGACAAAAAAACTGTTTATGTCATTCTATTGAGAATAAAATTTCCTAATACTTTTGTACTTAACATTTTCTTCTAAAATCAATATTTGCTGAACTAGGAGCGTTTAAGAAATCACCAAAAATCGTTTTTTTTTTATATCTGTTGACAGCTGCCAAATTTTGGAAAATTTAAATTGGTTTTGAGTTGAGCTTACAAAATTGCAATTCTTTGCTAATTTGAACTTTTTCGTATCTGCTATAGTTTCCGAGATCCCCATACTAAACATATATCGAAAAAAACTCACCCTGTATGTAAATCTTAATTATTATCATTATAAATCAACAGTCGCCAATATTATAATCTAGAATCTAGGGGATAGACATATTATAATAACAATAACAAAATACAACTAAAGATAACAGATTTTTCGATTTTTTTTAACGTTTACATGTTGAAAGTATTGTGGTGCGTGACATCTGATCTGAATGTAACTCTAGTGGCACACCATGACGACTGAAAACTTCGTCCACCAGCACCTAGTGATGGCTTCTTGATTGGAAAAGTCAAAACTTCTGGCCATTTACTAAAGTAATCCATGATAACCAAGATGTATTTGTTACCACGCTCTGACTCAGGGAACGGTCCGGCTATATCTATCGCTATTCTTTTAAATGGGAGACTGACGTTGTACTGTTTCATGGGCACCCGGGGTCTTAGCTTATAGGGCCTTTACTGATAGCACAGATGTCGCATTTTCAGTACCAGTTCATGATAGTGGACCTAGTAAAAACGTTCCCGAATTTTGTCCAAAGTCTTGTTAACTCCAAAATGTGCCCCTGAAGTTCCGTCGTGTATTTTTTTGAACACATCTTCCACTCGATCTTCTGGAATAACCAGTTGGCTCTTAGTAGATTTCCCATCAGCACTTTCCCGAACTCTTTTAAGTAAACCATTTTCTACAACGCCTTGTACTTCAACAAAGTCTTGTTCCACAGTTCCCTCCATTCTGGCCTACATTCATCATTTTCTTTAAGATGTAAAATTTGCCCGATGTCCTGGTCTGCCTTTTGATCCGCTCTCATTTGTTTGGTAGTCCATCTATCATCAACGATAAGACTCGTTCTTCTCACAGCTGGACCAGTGTTTTTCTCAGGCATATCGATTTTTTTGAGGGATGCTTGCAGTCCTCATTGCATGTCCGTCTAGACAGAGCGTCAGCATTTTCACGCAGGTTTCTAGGTCGATGTTCAAGGCTGGCGTCTCTAGATCTCCAAAAGCGTTGGGAACGATCCCTAGATGGAAAGGACATTCTTAGTTTATAATCCCATTGCATATCTCCAAGCTTATGGCACCAGTAACATTCTACTCGGTTTCTCGGTGTTGGTATTTGTTTGGCGTCGTTTCCCATTTGTCTAACTTTTGGTACTAGTTTCTCCATTTTCTCCATAAAATTTCTCATAACCCTCTCAAAGCTACCATCCTCTTTTGACGATTGTTTATCCTTTGGGTCTTCAATGGACACTGCTCGTATTCTGGGTCGTGAGGCACCAAAGATTGCTGCCAGTTCCAATGCTCGGACAAGGGCTTCGCTACTTTGTCTGAACTTAGACTCTCTGAGACCATCAATGAACGCCAGATACTGCCATCAGTGCCATCCATTCCTGAATGTCTTCCCCAGCTGCAGGAAACGCCAAACTCACTAGCCCCTCGCCGGGTTTTTGAATTCTTGATTTAACTTGAGTTCCTTATACTTCTTGCCTGTAATGGTCTCCGAAGCACAATTCTAACGTCTGACTTAGATGCTGGTAATTCTGTTGGTAGATTAAAGGAATGGACTGAAAAAGGTCTAAGGCAGGTCCTCGTAGCGCCACTATCAGTGCTGTAGCTTTTTCTTGATCGTTCCATCCGTTGGTATTTGCAGCAGCTTCAAATTTTCGAATATACATGGTCCAGGACGTAGAACCGTCAAAATTTGGTGGTTTTATCTTCATACTAGAAAATGCTTCAACACTACCTGGATTGATGGACTGTATTTTCAATTTATTCACCTCATCTTCAAGTGCTTGAACTTGGTCCTCAACTTCTTGTCTTAATTGCTGAACATCGTCTCTAACTTGAAGATTTTTTTTTACTTCGGCTTTTACTTCCTTAATTTTTTGTTCCAGGTTAGCGACACATCCTTGTATGGTTTGAAATATTTACTGCAGTTGTCCAATGTCTTCTTGCCGGTCTTGTTATCGCCTAGCTTCTTTATCTTGTTTTTCTTTTTGTCGCCTGGCCTCTTCTTGTTGTCGTCTAGCTTCTTCTTCTTGTTTTTCTTTTTGTCATTTAGCTTCTTCTTCTTGTTTTTTTTTTGTCGTTTAGTTTCTATTCTTGTTTTTCTTTTCGACGCTTATCCTTTTCGTCTTGTTTTTCTTGTTGTCGTTTGGTCTCTTGAAGTTCCAACATCTTGCGCAGAAGTTCTTCAATTTTTTGTTCTTCCATTTTTGCTTGTTGTCTCGTAATACGCATATACAGAATCTTCTGGAATTTCCCTTCCAATATCTTTCCTGGCCTTTGATTGAAGTTCCAAACACGTCGGTCGGTGAGGTAACAAATTGGATAACTTGCTTTATTCTCGAATAGAATGTTCTAGAATTTTGTTGAAAATGTCTTTTCTGGATGTCGATATAGCAAACACGTCGGTGAAGGCACAAATTCGATATCTCCCTTGATTTCCGAATAGAATTTTCTAGAACTTACTTGAAAATTCACTATTACAGTCAATCGGGTATACAGTCACTTCCGGGGTAATTTACTCGATCGGTTGTCTCTTTTTGTGATTGTCACTGCTTGCACTGACTAACTGTCTCAGTGTTCACTTAGTGTTCACGGTACACTAGTGTCCCCACTACTCTGCAATCGGATTTCACTTTGCAGTACTCGAATTATATCTCATTTCCGACACCAATGTCGCGGGTCTGGGGTACGTGACAGAAATCTTGGTTTCTATTATTCCAGAATCAAAGTCCAATTAACACAACAATAATTTATTCCACGTTACCCCACACTCTGACACTAATTAACTCCAATCTTAAACTTAACTATGCTACTACTAACTAATACCGGCCTTGTGTGATTGAGTGCATAAATCAATGTATAACGATAACGAAACATTTTGCCTTGATTTGTCATGCTAGGAATCGGTTTTTCAGAACTGGTACTATCTGTCGTCCAGAGTTTCAAAAACAAAGATAACAATAGCAAACCCATGAATACTTGCATTGCACTACAGTCTGGTGTAGTGCACTAAAGAAAATTGTCAATAATGGCTGTTTCCGCCAACTCTTTTAGGGACGCCTTAACGACAAGCATTCCCTAAATTGACAGTTTTCCATAGAGAAATGTCAGTTTAGGGAATACTTATCGTTAAGGCTTCGCTAAAATAGTTGGTTGAAACGGCCATAAACCAACTAACTTACCAGCTATCAAAGCGCAACTGTCTGAGCACCTAGTAAACACATCGGTTGTAGGTTAAGTACATCGAGGGGCACTAACTGTCAAAAATATCTCGATACAAATGGAAGTCATTTTGCAAATCTGTAAATTATTACCCACGTCAGTTTCCAGTTACGAAGCAGTTAAGAACAATTTCCAATTTCAAGTTTCTACATAACAGTAGGTAATTATTAGATTAAGGCCCGGCGGTTTATTCATCTCCAGATAAATTTCCTGGTTACTGTCTGCAAGATAAATTCGCCAATTTTATATATTCCTATTAGCATTGAATAACTAGTCAGCGGATTACTGGCCGACCAATGAGAGTCCAGACTGCGTTGTTATTCGCCAAATTGCATTACCTGACAGTTTACCAGAAGGTGAATAAACCGGCCCTCAATTAGATTAAGCAATTACTTATCAATCTGGCAAATAAATCATGGAATCCTTGGAAAAAATAAGGAATTAACTTACTTTACGAAGTGTGAAATTTTTTGATTTTTTCATGCACTTGTGAGATATAACTAGACTAGACATTTTACGGTCGGTAATCCAATATGGCGGCCATAGGAAAAATTAAGTTGAGGTTGGTCGAGGGATAGCAAAAGACGATTGAGATTCATGTCATACACGCTATCTTTGTCTGAAAAAAGGATCCGAATTATGTGACATTTTGACAGCATCAATTTAAGCGTTCTGATTAACTGATGGCGAAAAACGAAATATGTGATTTCATTCGTCCTTATCGAATGCTCTAATTTTCCTTTAGAATTTTCCTTATTTAACATTTGCAGTTAGCTATAGGTATAATAGGAGCCGAGATACCTGTATAGACAAGCGGATCTAGGACACATTATAGGGTAACGTAACTCTAGATGAAGTACCATAACGCAGCCTTATGCCCCGACATTCAGGATTCAGAAATAAAAACAACGATCGAATTTATTTACATCCTATATTTCACAAATATAAAATATAAGAGTCATTAGAAACAATTATTTTACTTTTTTTTTTCACTGACCATGGGGTATTCTGATATACGTACACTTTAAAATTACTTCTATAATCTAATGCTTAGATTCCGTCTTTACATAAAAATACAACACTTATTAGGACATTGCCATTATTGTTTTGCAAAATATGCTCACACAAATTATTGATAAAAAGAGAAACTATGTAGGTACCTATTAAATTTTTTAGACTTTTTGTGCAACACTCATTAAAATTAGTTGAGTTCAATTTTTTTTTTCGAAACTGCGCTAATTTATACAAATATTTACAATTAAATAAAAATGTTCCTAATTCTTTCTAAATAAAAGGTAGTAGATACTCCTGGAATATTAAGAAAAAACCAACCAGGAATTGGCACAGAAAGTCCAACAAAAAGGTGTTTCCTAAAAAATATGATTAAATAATTATTCTTTGGTATTTGATATTATTTTTACAAAAAGGAGAAAGAATACCTAAAAAAGAGTCCTAGTAAAAAGTTAGTGGTAGATATAAGTGGTGCATCTTTTATTAACCACATGGTAGTAAACATCAATTAATGTTACTTACTACAATATAAAACAACACAGACTATTGTTTCACAAGTGTCATACACAACCCCATAATTATCAATAAAAAAATATTTATTTAATGAAATAATATTGAGACTAAAATCGTTATTCAAACTTATCTTACAATCTTATTGCCTTTGCATTATCTCAAAGTTATTTAAATAGTCTAGAGATGTTTTGTTTCATAATTAAATATATATATATATACATTCCCTTCTTTTTGACATAATTTCATAATATTTATTGTCTTATGAATTGAAAATAGTTTATCTTGTTAACTATAAAAATAATTTCTAAAATATTTTCTATTCATTAGCGATGGAGTCGAATATTTACAATAAGTCCAAACTATTCAATTTGGAAAGGCAAAGGCAAAGGTTATTTTAAATAATTATTTCAGTCATCAACATAGTTTATAAAATTGAATACATTTTACAAAACAAAATTGAATTATTTCAAGTTTATGTACACCACACTTTTGCCAATAATTTCACTAACACTTTTTAGTTAAAGGCGCACATCAACTTAAAAAAATATCCAAATTATATTAGAAATCGTTGTCTAATATAAAAAACCATTATGTATTATATTATATAGAAGTGATTCACTTCACTTTCAATAAACATACATTTAAACCCTGTGAAAAATTATTATCTTTACAGTGCCTATCAAATTCAAAGAAAAAAACAAGTGCAAATAAAGATTGTAATCAATATGAGAAAATTCGTGTTACATTTTCATTTTGTAGACGTAATACATTTATATGACGAAAAATAAATAGAAGTTAAATTCGTGAAAAATAAAACAAAAATATTTTTAGTTCGGCAATATCTTTTTTTTTTTCAAATTTTAATTTAATTTGGAAGAAAACTAAACTGTATAGTGTCAATATAAAAGTATAAAATTTGCCCCTAAATATTTACTACTCAGTAATTTTCTTAGTTCTTAGCAATAAATCGCCATAAATAGAAGATTGCCAAAAGAAATATTTACAATAAGAATAAAAACATAATATTCTTAGAAACAGTTCAAATACGAAACACCTACAATAATAATTAATTAGTTAACTACATTTACACTAATTAGTCTAGTTGTAGAGAAAGTATAAGAATACTGTAATTTACCAGACATTGAGTCACTAAAAGGAAAGTTTTTTAGTTCCAAGGTCAATCTAGTTGTAAGGTGAGTTGAAGATTTTTAATTGTTTATGGCGGACATAAAATAAATATTTATTTTGCATAAATCAAAAGACTTCTTCATAACTTCTTGTGTCAGTGAGCTCCTTAATTGAAAATGCAAACTCGGATAGCAGATGAAAATGAAATTGTTTCAGAATAGGAATCAATGGACTTATGCATATGTTTTTTTCATTTCATTTGAAGATCTTGTTTTATTAATTATGATTTCTTCGTCTGCAATCGATAATTAGGAGAGAATAAATCTATGTGACCTAAGGGCGAAATTAGTTGGAAGCCCAAGAGACAAATAATTGAAAAAAAAGAACAAGAGAAAAGCAATAAACTTAGAGAAAAAATCAGAAAACCTGATGAAACTTCTCGCCCATGTGATTTAAAATGCTGCTATGTCACTGGCGGAAGATATGAGATTAAAATATTTGCACATTATGAGCAAACATAAATGTTGTCTAGTACATTTGGCAAGAGAGAGGTCCATATAGTGGAGGAGCCTATAAATAATTGTCACAGCTTGCCAGTTCTTGCTTCTCAAATCTGGACAGGTCAAGCATTCAGGCCTGTATGATGTATCCTCTCCTGTTATTTTAACAGCTATGTTATAGCTCAACATCCATACCTCTTTCTGTTTTGACTTATAGAATAAACAGTGCCATATAACTTATCTTTGCTGTTAAAATAATAGAAAATGATACATCATAGGCCTGAATGATTCATTCCTATTGTCTGTCAAAATGCATGAGAAACGTTGATGTAGAGAAATATTCTCAGTTACTAATCACCAATGAACTGAGCTAAGGACCAAGTTTAACCACAATTAATATTCAACATTTTGAGTTAGTTTTTGTTTGCTTTCTAGATTAGTTGTAGTGTCTGTACATGATAGGTTTTAGGTAAATAATTGAAAAGTAAATTACCACCCTGACTATAGAAAACCTAACCCAAACTAACTCAAATTCAACATTTATTCACAAATTTGATTTGACGTTTACTATTACTTTGTTAACCAAAAATTGTCGGTTAATTATTTGAGTTAGACGAGTATTTCTGTACTGTAGTGGAAGTAAAGCAAGTTGGTTTTTATGGATCTTCTGCTCACTCAGATTTTTGTCTATTGATTTAAATAAATAAGTAACTGGATTTGATTAGGACTATATATACAGAGCGAGTCAAAACACCAAGTACATTGCCTAACAATTTATATGTTTAAAAACAATTTGTGTAACCACTATATCAACTAATTTAATACATACCTACGCGAATACCCACAATAAATTTCAATCAATTAAAAACCTAAAAAAAAAGTAAATAGGTACAATGTGTTTATTATACAATAATTTTACCTCATTAAAAAGTTGATAAAATCGGATGTATATGTCAAAATGGCTAAAAATTTACAAACAAAAAATCTACAAATAATTAACAGTCCCAAAAAACTCTTACCACAGGAATTAACCAATTTCCATAATAATTATATGTATATTTCACATAACAATTACCAATTAAAAAAAAAATAATTATCTATCACTGAAAAGAATTTTTTGGGCTCAACCTAAAAGGAGTTGGTCATACTGGGTGACCACGAGATTACTTACCAAGCTCTATCTCAGGCATGAAAATCGATTTTAAGTTTGAGGATCTATATAAACTGCTGGAACTTCGATACGCATAGAGAAATTTTTTGCCTATTTTTGAAGTCAAATATCTCAGAAAGTTGAGAGATATTTGATCGTCGATCATATGCGACATCCGGCAACCCTGCAAGTCTAGGGCTAGGCGAGCTTGTAGGCGAGTGCAGTGTTTGTATCTTCACCTTCGCGCGTTCGCGTCAGTATGGGTCAAGATGTCGTCAGAGAAACGCTCCAAGAGCGAAAAACAAAAAACGAGTTACGATAGCCATTGCGGACTATGCCGCACATAGTCGACAGCCGTCAAAAACTCCGTCTATAGGACACAAATTTTCGGTAAACCCGCCGTATGGAAAGGGTTAATACTAATTACTAGGTGGTCCGTAAAAATAATTGCACCTCAAAAAATAGAAGATAGTACTAGAGATGGTAAGCGTCCAAACAAGTAACATGACTGCGATTTATAGAGGGCACAGTCCTCTTTGTCAATTGATATGGTACCAAACTTTCTCTGATTTATTAGGCAATTTTTCGCGAGGATAATCGAGCATAATCGATTATGCTGGATTATGTGATGTGTGAATTGTGCCATACTCCCTAACTCCCCACACCATCAAATTATGGGATACTCGAAGTTCAAGAACACTTAATTTCTTCTGTGAGAACAGACCGAAAATCAACTCTTCTACACTTGAAATCGACGAAAAATAGCTATTTATGTACCAAGGGGATTAAGTTGTAGATTATAATGCCCGAAGGAGAAACTAGCCCAAGGGATATATTTTGCCTGAAGGGCATTATAATCTAAAAATCCCCGTGGTGCATACAATGCTTTATTTTCTACTCAACACAATGTTCTTTCATCAATTTAGTATCAAACAAAATCAATTAAACTTGTGTGACAGAATATTGTTTTGTATTTTGACATGTACCTGTACCGAGAAACGAAATAAATTAATATATCTAGAAACATCTCATAAGGCAAGGCAACGGTGGTCGTGTGGGTTCACGCGCTCGACTACATGGCCAGACCGAAAATTATTTTTGGTCGGGTAAAGGGTAAAGTGCAAATTAATAAAACAACAACAACAACAATAACATCTCAGGATATTATAAGCAGGCGTTATAAATCATAACGCCCGCTGGGCTTATAAAGCCCTCAGGTTGTTATAGGTATGTTAACGTATTTGGTTTCCTAGGTATTACGGATCTATGGGACTGGGGTTGAAGAGATTCAACCGTTCCGGTACTTTTTATTCAACCGTTCCGGTACCTTTTGACACCCCTGTATAAGTAGCCCCCTTATGACATGGACCCGGCTTATTGGGTCGCAGTAGAGCGATAAAAACGAGCTATCTGCGGCCAAGCAATATGGGGCCGGGTTGCAAGTTGGATGAGTGACCGCCGAGTTACCCGATGCCAAGTTCAAGGGAATCTCACCAGTAAAGGCGCATTGGGGCACCGCTTGCGCGTCGGTCGACCGTCCAACTTGCAGAGTCAATGAGGAGGAGTAGAGCATGTGCAGGGATACACAATAAGTCTTTAAGGCTGCAGTGCTGAACATATGCCTGAAAGAATGAAGAAAATCAATCAATCAATCAATCAATCACTGACATGATACATGCTAATAATCCACCAAATATCTCGGCGTCTCGAGAACAGAACAGCTTTTCCACCTAGGAAACATAATATACCTAATCATGTTCTGTTCTTAGAATGGTTATACAATAAGGGTAAGCGCGCACTAGCTTTTTATTGTCGCGTGACTGTTTAGTCGCTAAAATGGAACATTAATATTTTAACGATGATACACGCATTCTGCGACAAAATAATCGCTGCGGATAAAAAATAGAACCATTCCTATTCCATGACTGCGGCAAAATTATCGCACGACAACAAATCGCTAATGCGCGCTTACCCTTAAGCAGAGAGAAAAGTTGGTGCCATTTCAATTAACAGAAAACTGTGCTCCCTATAAATCGCAGTACATGTTACATGTTACAACGCGTACTATCTCTAGTTACCTACTCTGAGGCGTAATTATTTTTACGGTCCACCCAATAATTAATATTAAAAACTTACTTTTTTCACCCTGTATAAAATCTTCTTAAAACAAAAAAAGATGGAAACCTTGAACCAACAATAATGAAGAAAATGGTTTTGAGTAACTGGAGACAATGAATCAGGGCGACAAAAGTCGTTTTTCAGTTAATCTGAAATTTCTGCAAAACTACGAGATTTATTCAAAAACCCTTCAAGTTGTTTTTTACCATTGAACTACTGATTCCTCTTAAACCCAGAAAAAAAGCAGAATTATGTTTGACAAAAAATAGCGACGCCCTGAAATTTGTTGAACTTTGCACTGTTTTACTGTCCACCCTGTATGTTGTATATAACGTTTCTGTTCATCAGCACGATACCATATACCTTGAACACCAAACAATGCGCCCCAATATGCTTCAAACCGCAATCAAATATCTCGTAAACTTTCTGAGATATTTGACTGCAAAAATAGGCAAAAGATTTCTTTATGCGTAACGAAGTTCCAGCAGTTTAGTTGATGTCTGTCGCCATCAACTTCTTTATACAAATGAATAACCCTCTATATTATTAAATTTTTGGATTCTTAGAGAAATTCTAAGCTTATTTTATGATATCCTATGCCTAACTTCAATAGTTTACAAGAAAATCGCGATTCAAAATGCCAGAAAACAATGTTTATTTTAGTTCTGACAGAAAACAGTTGGATAAAGAAGTTGATGGCACTTACAGTCATACCGGAAGCGACAGTTCATTGTTTTTATGCTGAAATTCTGCATCGATATTGATATCATACATCGTCAAAATTTAAAATCGATTTTAATTCCTAAACCCAGTATATCATGAAATAGGACGACATACTTATATGCCCAAAAATGTTCGAACAAAAACTTTACAAATAATTAATGGTCCCAAAAAACTCTTACCACAGCATTTTACCAAATTTTATGAAAATAATTAAATATTTATATGTATATCACTAAATAATTGCCAATTAAAAAAAAACAATAACAAAAAGTCAATGGAATAAAAAGTAATAAATACAATAAAATATATTTTTCTTATACTTGAAAAGAATTTTTTGGGCTTAACCTAAAAATACAAATAGATAAGTGTGAAAATGTGTAAATTTCTTAAACTTATTGGTCGCTTAAAATGGTCTCTTCGGTTTTGACGTCAGCAATGCCTTGCATTGCCTTTTGCAGGACAGTGGCATCTTTTAAAGACAAAACTTGTAATACTTGGTGGTGACCCTCCCCGCTGGCGCCTTGGATCATCATTGTGTGAGTGTTTAGACCACTTGTGAGACCATCCATATCGCCGTTTGGTTCCACCTAAGTCACATAAGTATAAGACTTTTTACATAACGGAGATATATGGGCAAGTTTCACCACAGAGGTCAATCATACTTTCCAAAATCTCTACTTTTACTCTCTTTTACCTATCATATTATGTTGGAACATAGAGTAATAAAATCTTATCTATATTCGAATTCCTGCCAAGACTCTCCAACAATTATTCAATAAATATACGTTTTTCCCAATTCTTCACTTTATTGTAATGATAATGTATCTATGAAAATTTATTAACCTTAAGTGGCTGCGCATGTCCATATTTTCAATAGTAGGCGCCCTCAGGTCACAAAGTTTCCAAAAAGGAAAATAGTTCACTCACTATGACAATATGTCTATGACTCATAGGTAGGCACATAAATCAAAATAGAAGAGTAACCTTGGCAGGCCGTACATCAAAGAAATATGAAACGTAAAACATGAAACAATAAATCAAGAAAAGCGAAACTGTTTCTTTCTTGCATACTAAACAAAAATAATGTTTGCAAAGTCTTTTGGTAGTGTAGTGGAGTGTAGAGTGTAGCATACAATGGAAAGTGATGACGAGCAGTTGTGGCAACTCTTTTATCGTCAAAAAGCAAAAGAAAAGGAAACGACGTTACTGAGTACATCCATACAATAAGGTACTTTCTACCTGTTAGGCAACGTTTTGCCAGGCTTTTTCTTGTGATTGTCTATTCGAGTACTTGTCCATGTTATACAGGGTATCCTTAGATAAACCGACACATTTTGCAAGTATAAATATCTCGAAAACGTGAAAAGATATCGAGATGCGGTTTGTTCCGAGAGAATAAGAAATTTTTAAAGTTTTTTTTCACAGTATTGCCAAATCCTGAAATTTGGATTTACGGACATTCGATTTTTTGAAATAAAATTACTGCCTTCTTCTCCATGAAACACTCTGTATATTTCATCATCATCAGAAAGCCTGATTTTTCTACTTTCCAAAAATGTATATTTTTTTTTAATTAAATTGAAATCACATCGTGAAAATTGCACTTTGTTAAAGACGGCACCATCAACTGGCCAAAAAAAAAATACTTCAACCAATTAGAGGGACTTCAAACTTTCAGGATTTATTTGGTAGTGTCTTTTTATCAAACAGAACAAATCGCGAATGGATGTCAGACTCAGAAATGGAATTATAAACTTTTTCTCACTTAGATGCAAAAAAAAATATGTAAAATTTCTATTAAATCACCTTTGGAAGCTTCTGAAAAATACTTCAAGCAATCAGAAGGCCTTCAAACTTCCAGGATTTATTGAGTAGGGTCTTTTTATCCAACAGAACAAACCGCAAATGAATCTCAGGCACAGAAATGGGATTATGAATTTTTCCTCACTTAGATGCAATAAAATCATGTAAAATTTCTGATAAATCACCTTTGAAAGCTTCTGAAACATATACTTCAAGCAATCAGAGGGTCTTCAAACTTTCAGGATTTATTGAGTAGGGTCTTTTTATCAAACAGAACAAACCGCGAATGAATCTCATGCTGAGAAATGGAATTATGATTTTTTTCTCTTTTCCAGAGATCAGAGCGATTTCAAACGTTTAGGATTTATCGAGTTGGGATCTTTTACTAATTTTTGAAATTGGCATAATTGGATAAAGCAACTAAAATCAGAATTTGTTAGGTTGGCAGCAGAAATTTACTAAATGTGACGTCATCCTGAATATAGAGTAAAAATCCTATACGTACCGTCACGATTCTGCGCAAAGCCTAAAATTTTTTGCCTAGAATACAAAATGCGTATACAGAGTGGTTTCCAAACCGCTCATGGGACGGTTTTTGACGTCTTGGAACAGACCTCATGTATAGATATTTCAAAAAAAATCGCATGTCTGTAAAACCAAATTTCATCACATTTAAGGATTCAGCAATAATGTGAAAAAAAAACATTAAAAAATCTTTATTCTCCCAGAATAAACCAAATCTTGTTATCATTTCTGTAGATATTTACCAGCAAAATGTGTCAGTTTATCTAAGGACACCCTGTATTATAACTATATATTTCTCCATATAGCTTCACCACCAAAACGAACACAATATTAAATTTTTGGTCGTTAATTTATTTTTTTATGAATGTATTAAAAACAGCGAAACTGAACTAAAAATAGAGATACGCTTCAAGCAATTTTCAAATATTGGAATGCTGCCATTGAAAATTAAAATCCAGATAATATCATAAGGCAAGTGGCCCAACTTGTGTTTTGTTACACAAAAACAAGGTTTTCAGCCTGTTTTCCAGATGGCTAGAAAATTGATTCAAATTAGAAAATAAAAAGGCTACATTAAAACTAAATTTAGATTTAAAGTTGTCAAGCACTGACTTTGAAAAACATAAGAAAATATCAGACGCAATAGGTTTTTACAGCTCGCCTCTGTGTGTATCTGGGTTACTATGGTGAAACTAACATGTTATAGGGTCAGGCATTTAGGCCGGAGTTACCCAATTCCTTAATTCTTAATTTTTGTTCTTAATTCTTAATCCTTAAAAACACCAATGTTAAATAAATTGAACTTTTTAAGAATTAGGAATTAGGGACAAATATTAAGAATTAAGGAATTGGGTAACTCCGGCCTTAGGTAAAACAAGCAGTTTATTTCCCTCAGAAAAAACTCAAGATAAAATGGAAAATAAAGATGTTAAGGACATGGAATGAAAATGAAAAATGCAGTCCTTGTTATTAGTCTTTGTTAATAGTTCCAGACTTTCGACATGTATCAGATTGGAGGCCATCTATTAATTCCAGTACAGAAAAAATGGAAAAACATAATGGGCCTGCTGATTCGGGCTGGGAAAATTGAAATTGACTGCTAAGTTAAAGTACTGAATTGAATATGCTTTTATCTTCAAGTGGTCTATAACATGAACTTTATTGTCGTCAACACTTGATACAGAAGTAGGTAATAAATTATGTTCCTAGGACCATACATTTTGTATGTATTTTGTTCGTTTTTTTCTTGCTACAGGGCAGCAACGTCAATCGGCGCTATTAGGTTCTTGTTATTATTTTGTTCAAACAATACGTAAATATTATGTAAATTACTCTATATTCCAACAAACATTTTGTTGAGCATTTCAATAAAAACAGAAAGGCAGCAATAAAAAAAATACAATATGCTAAAAAAATTAAAACTAAATTTTCTATCTACAACTAAAAATAATAATAAAAAAACACGACAAACATTTACCTTTACCTTGGGTACTTGCACTACAGGAGTAACGCATACCGTTCCATCAGAGTTTGTATGCAGATGTTGAATATTTGCTACCATTGTCTGGTACATCGACGCAGACACAGGTACTGTTATTACACCACTGACTGAAATTTCAACAGAAACAAATAAAAAAAGCATCATTGTAATTTGAAGCCCATGTGTAAGTTAATCTTTATGAATTCAATTGAAACGGTCAGAATATGTAATAGTTGAACAACATTTCAAAATATTAGTTTACCAGCAATTACCATCATTCTTATTTGTTAACTTCTTTATCATATCTTGCATTGTCTATCGAAGAGCAGCCAATTTTCATAGTGTATACTGTTCAATTGACTGGGTAGAGACCAGAGAATTTATGCGCACAACATTTAAATTTTTTGTGGATTCCCGATTAAAAATGACTTTGTCTTCCACAAATTTCGAGTTATTGTAAATAAAAAATTGTGTTCGTATATAATCCGCAGATAACAGGCCAGTCAGGCATTTCTTGAAATTAAGTAATTTATACTGAATTTTCAAGTTTTGCATTAATATGGGTGTCTCTAAAAAGGAAATCTTACATATTTTCATTTTTGCTTGAATTATTAATAATTAAGTTTTGGTTATTTTGTAGCACTGGCATTAAATATAATAGGGCGATGTGTTATTACTATTGTTTAAAAAAGTGCCATAGCAGTGTTACATAAAACAGTCTTATCACATTTACCAGATTTTCAAGGATTATCGATATATTTTTTATACAATATTAGTTCATATTTCTGATTTAAAGAATCTTCAGCAAATGAATATGTGGTAGTGAAAAAAAAGAATGATGAAAAAAGACTTGAAAATTAATTTCCACTACATTTTTAACATGTTTCTCTACACTGTAGCTATCAGTCCACTTTTAACTTATTACTACTCTATGTTTGTATCCCCTGAATGGAACGAAGCATCCTACTCCCAATTCGTAACTGGAGACCTACATCAAAGCTATTCTGGTAAAAAAGATTGGTTAAATGGTGTTTATTGCATCGAAAAAAATATTGACCACATTTCAAATCAAATTACTGATCATTGTACCCTCCGAAAGAGCGGACTTTCCCCATGAAGGCATACTGATATTCGTAGCTCTTAAAATGACAATTTCAAACCTTAAAATATTTACCTTTCTAGCTAGAATGTACTTCATACCCCCCACCCCTCGATTTTAAATATACTGTTGAAAAAGTTAGCATACATACCCTGTCCATCCTCACCAGTCAAAATAATTTGACCTTCATTTAGGGTAGCTTTAGTGACAAAATTTTAAATGAGTTTTCTTGTTTTACTAATTATTTCATATATACATATACATGTATCTACAGGGTGATCGTTAACATACGGAGTGTTTCGTTTGTGTCTTAATTGTTCCATTTTATTCTGTCAGCTACAAAAACAGTCAAAAACAGGATTTAGTTCAGCTGTCAACGCCATCAGAGCAATTAGCGTTTATTATCAGTATCTTTGGTATTATTTGTCAATACTGTCAAATATATCAATTTGATTTGTTGTTGGCTGAATAATTTTATGGTACCTGCGAATACACATTGGAATGTGTTGTTTTACATCTAACCAGGGTTCTCAATAATTCACATTTAACCAACATGACAAACGAAACACATCCATAGTGTCTATTTCAAAACTTCCAGCTTTCTATAATCTCAGCAGTGATTGTATTACATAAAAATAGGCCCCTCAAGAAATTATTTTTGGTGGGCTACTTAGTTTTTGAAATATTAGTAGTAGGAAGTATTTAAAATTTCACACTGTATTTTGACTCGTTATTAGCTCAATACACAAATTAAAAAATAAGTTTTGGTAGCTGGAATAATTGTAGGACTTTTTTTTAAATTGTCTTGATATTATATTCAAATGAATTTCTACTTGAAAAAAATAAATAAAATATGTACATCAAATTCTGCAGCTCTTATCAAGTGGTGCATCAAGGAAGCGTGAAGTATGATGATATGAACAATCACCCTATACATAGTGCAAACATATGTGCAATTATTCTAATATCAGGGGGGAATTATTTCAAATTTGCAATTCAAATTCGTCTGGCTAAGTCGCATTTTTTAGCATTGAAATACCGGCAAAAATTAGTCAGACGATTTGAATTGCACGTTTCAAATACCCCCCCCCCCCTGGCACAATCAAATATTTATTATTAATTAAAGAAAATAGTTACCATGTCCATCTTCAGCAGTTAAAATGATTTGTCCATCAGAATTTAGGGTGGCTTCAGTAACAGTGTTAAGGTCTACCACTTCTCCCTGTGAACCTCCTTCACTTATAGTTTGGATGGTGTGCGTACCATCCCCATTACTAGATTGCAGCTAGAGTTTGAAATGAATTAATAAATAATCAATATTGGTATTGAAATCATACAGAACATACCGTCGCCATTCCTTGTACATGAGCGGTAGTACCATCTGGTAGTGTTATGATAGGATTATTTGGATCAACTTGAACAATACTAACAGTACCATCAGGGTTGGTAATTGTGTGCAGTACTGTTGGTGTATAATGTGTTGTGATCTGATAAAATAGAAATTATTTTCATGGTTATTAAATTTAGAAAAAAATTATCAATAAATACAACCATTGACAAAAAGAGGCAGGCATTTTTACAAAACAGGGTCAAGTTTTTTTCTAGCCAAAATCATTGTATATAAGTGTATATGTATTACTTCAGCATCTAGAAACTGTGTAATATACATTTTTCCAAGAGAAGCTTAGATATCTACAGTTTCTCCCGATGTTTTTCCATAACTTAATTATTGTAAATGAAAATATTGGCCACATTGAAGAATTCTTTTCCTGTGAAAATATGGGCTCAAATTAACACATGATTTCAGCTAAAAGACACTTGCTGCAAAATAAATAATAATTTATTACTGAGCTACAAAACAAAATAAAAATACCTAATCATTGTGCAGTTACATTGTATAGACAGAATAGATTATTAGTTTATACTTTACAGCTGACTGTATCTATCCCCATTCATCGATTATTTAGTTTTTAGTTATTCAGTTAGTATACATTATGAGGTTTTAAAAATGTGTAATTGTGAAGTAATATTAAAAATAAAGCTTTGCAGAATTTTAGAAGTTGTTAGTATTGCTAAGCTAATAAGGGTAAGTAATACATTGGTGTAATAATTAAAATTAACTTTTTTTTGAACAAAATGATCTAGTACACCTGCCAACAAGATTTCTTTGACAAACATTCCAGCCCCTCTGCGAAAAACAAAAAAAAATGTGTGCTAACTCTAGTACATAAAAAAAAATCTACAAGCAACGTCGAAACATGAATCAAATAAAATGTACACACATCCACGTCTGAACTGTAGCCTCCCGGATCGAGGCAAACTTGTGCGGATGATCCTGAGAGTCCTTCAGGTGAGGCAGCAATAATTTGAGGTGACCCATTAGCTTGGATCTGAATCTTGTGGGTGGGTACGCCGGAGGAGTGCATTTTCAGCACACCCACAGAATTACACTAAAAAATATTAGTGAATCAAGCCCAGATAATGCAACCACTAAGAGGAAAAACTAGTAATATTATTAGTTTAGTTGGAAAATACTGTCTAACTAGCAAAAAGTCGCCAAGCTTTATAAATATTGGTAAACAATTCAAGCCTGTAATAGAAAAAAGTATGTATGTCAAAATTTTCAATTTAAAAACGTTTTATTCAGACATTTTAAGTACATTAATATTGAAATAAAAAAAACTTACATTGGCATTTGATGTTGCAGCAGCATTAGCCTTTTCATCTTCTTCAGTAAATGCTGGCAGCAGGTCTTCTCTACCATGGAATTTATAGCAATTTATGACAATTTGCCTAAGCGCATGTGTCCACGAAATCTAAAATTAAATTTTGAGTTGGCATTTCATCATTTATTCTCAGATCAAAAAAATCTTGATATGAGATTAAGGTTCAGTGAATGTCTTTCTCTAATTATGTGCGAAATTTTGGCAATTTTGGATTTTGCTGGAGGTGGTTGCAACTTCAAAATTTTAAATGGTGAAATTTTGTATTTTAACTATCTGCATGTGGGAACTTTGACCAGCAGAAGATAAGATGCTTATCGAACAGCAAAACTTGGTGACTACTCATTTTACAGCTAATTTTATCGTGAAAAAAATTGCAATTTGCAGCTACCAGCAAATGAGAAAAAAAAAATGCATTTTTAGTCCTGAAAACTCTGATTCAGCACTGGGCTTTTTGCCTCTCTGCAGTTTGTAGGTAGCACCTTGTATAAAAATTACAGGCCCTTGACTGTCTGAGTCGCTGTTGTCTGGTTGTTGGTCCAAATCCTGATCTTGGCTTTCACCAGAGAGGAAGCAACCGCAATGCAGGCTCTGTCCCAATAAATGCAGCCTCCTGTGATTCGGTAGCCAAACTAGAGTGACACATTACTTACTTTTTGTTTTTCGTCATCACTCCTTGCATCCATTCGAACATTAGCCCATGGTAGTTCTTTAGGCCACCAAGGAGGTCGTGTAGATTCCCTTCCCCAACCAGGTTTACCACGTCCTGTAGAATATTTTAACATAAGTGGTATAAAAGCTCTTAACTGCGCTTGAGTCATTTTTTCTACTGGAGTCGGTATTCCATCTATTATTAGTGGCGGTAGCTCAAAGAGAGTGGGATCATCTTGGATTGGCGGAGGAGCCTGATGCGCCAGAGCATTCTCCAACTCCTCCATTATACTGACTTTCAAATTTTTTATTACATCTTCAAGGGGTTTTGCTCCAAAAACCTTATAGCTTGTATTTGGCTTACCAGGAGTTGCAACTAATACAATTGCTTGTTGACCCACTCTTGTGGCAAATTCGTCAATTGTTTGCTGAAAAAGGGCATATAGAAATTTGAATAAATAAAATAAATGTACTTTACTCACTCTTAATTTTCGCAATAGTCTATTTTGTTGACGTTTCCTTATCGAGGGATTAGTTTCAAAAGAGTGGGGCCTCTTTCGTTTTTTTGATGATACAATTGCAGCAGCAGCTGCTACCCCTACTGGTCCTAAAATAATAATTTAATTAGAATTTACTTCTGGAACGAAACTATGAAGATGATACCTGCAGCTGCCAACTGTGCTGTAACTTCATCTCCCATGGCTGCAGCCATAAGGTCAGCATTACTCTCATAAACGGACCCAGGAGAAGAAGGACACTGATCATCATCATCATCTGACTGCATTGACATTCCAGACGGAGAGCCCACAACCATGGTGATATGATCAGCTCCATTGCTTGAACTTCCGTTAGTGTTCATGTTAGAGTTTGGGGTCTCAACTCAACCATGGAAAGGATTCCCTTAAATTTAAAAAAAAAAAACTGAGTATACCTACATACATTGCTATTTAAAGACTTTTTTATTGGTAGAATTTCAAAGGAGCGCATGTGGGTTCTTCTCTTCTACACTCCAAGGTGGATTTGGAATTTCTTAAAAAGGATGAGAGGCACATATTGAATTTCAAATCAAAGCAGAAGTTTACAAATGGTGGCTATATACAGACACATAACATATCATGAGACATTACATAAGATAAGATAAAAAGTTGTGCCTATGGAAATCCCTTATGTCGATTATACACAAAATAACATAACATAAAATAAGACATAAGAAAGTTAGTTAACTTTTAACTTCTATGTCTTATTTTATGTGAAAATGGAGCCATGCCTGTTGTAAGGTATTTTATTGATTTTTGACTTATTATAATTTTTTTTTTAAGAAAGGCATGATTTATAGCAATAATATGAAATATTATGAAATTACTTATTTTTAAAATTTGATAAAGTGAAAGAAAACACCTGATCATTCTTTTGCAGCTGGTTGCTTGAAAATTATTTCTTATGTTAGGTATGTTAGTGTCTGTATAAACACTACAAAATAATCTTCTCTTATTTCTTATATTATGTTTATGTTATGTGTCTGTATAAACCCACCTTAGTGTCTGTTTCAGAGCAATCAATTCAGATTCAGTGAGCAGTTATTGTTGGTTGGTATAACAAGTTTGTTATTCTGTGGTTTAACAGATAACAGAATCAGCTGATTACACACATCAAAATACATGAAATTTGTAAAAATTAACAAAAATTAGAAAATGAATTTAATTATATGGTTAGGTCCCATTGGTAAACTCACTTGGGCAAGGCGCGAAATAATTGGTGTACGTGCGTGTAGATGTTGGTGATTCAGTTAAAAATACTTTTCTAAGACAAACAAAATAATAATGCTGCTGGTTGTCGATGCAAGCAGCAAGGCAGCAACGCTCTAGGTAGTTCCTTAGTTGCAAATTGGTCAATTCGCGCCGATCTATTTGAATACTGTAGTTGCAAAAGAACGTGCTGTGCTGCGACACCCCACACGTGCTGTGTTGCGTCACCCCACACGCACCTCAATTTGCGCCTTGCCTTATGGTGGGTATATAAAGACACATAACATAAAACATAACATAGGATAAGATAAAAAGTTGACTTTATGGAAATCCCTTATGACATTTACACACAAAATAACATAACATAAGAAAGATGGTGAACTTTTATGTCTTATTCTATGTGAAAATGAATCTGCACATGTTCCATTGAGAATTTGACTATGAGTTTGATAGAGTGACAGAAAACATGTGATAATTCTCTTGCTGCTGATTGGTGAAAAATTATTCTTTATGTTGTGTTGTCCGCATAAACCTTCCATTTTAAATTTGATAATGCCTAGAGTATAAAAATCTGATTTCAAAAAAAAATTAAAATTGACAATGATTGTCAGAAAAGCATCATTCGGCAATGGGTAGTGATAAAGGAAAAATTGACTATTCATGAAATCTTTACCTACCTGTTTAAAGATTTTTGAAAAAAATAAATTCAAAAAATCAAAGAATTTTTGACAATGTGCTGATCCAACAACTCTCTCCTATATCTCTTTTATTGTTTATGAGTTAATTTATGGAAAGCCCTATTAGGGCCAATTTCACAATTGGTGGTAGCCTGCATTGGTTATCAAAATCATAGTTGGGGTTGAATGTGTAATTAGATAATCTGATGCTTGACCAATGCTTTTGGCTAAACCACACATTATTAAACAGATACCTATATTGTGGATATTATATTATAGGTTACCAGTGTCTTGTGAAACTAGCCATAAATAACTAGCTCATCAAGAGGAAAGGAGGTGTTCAGGTGAACAGGTCAGAAGTAAATCAAATTTACCAAAATAATTTTTTACTGCTAATAATTAGAATTTGATAAAGATTTGTTGGTGCATGAGATTGGTAAGACAAGTTAAAAAAAAACATCTCCTAAGCAAGTTTCATGCCAAGCTATGCAAACATGGAAGTTTTTAAATGGAATGCTGAGGATAGATAAATTTTATGTTCTGTTCTCTTCAGGGGTCATGTCAGGACATACATGTGTTCCATGTATAAAATCTTGATATTTATAGTACCTAGTAGGTAAAGTATTTTTACCCCGATTTTTACATTGAATTTTACTGTGCATTTTTGATTTGGAATGTCTTCTGATAAATATGCCAGGCATGATTTTGCAATAAATAGCTAGATACAAAGACCTACTGATTAAATAAAAAGAAAAAAAGTCATAGGTATCAAGTTCTGTATAGATTGAGAAGTCACATCACATTCTCCCAAATTCTATACAATTCCATCCAGTCTATATAATATCTTTTCCCCAATAATATGTTCACTTTACAAGTTTATTAGAAAATATTAATATGCAGGGAAAACAAACAAACCAGTAAAACTTTATATTTTTAAAAACCAATATGCTACGCCAATTTCGCTTTTGTAATTAAACACAGAGATTAATAATAGAACAATAAGTAATAAAACCGCAAGGCAATATTTTCTCAACAATTCAAAACTATATAGAATAACTATAGATTAAAATATTTATGAGTCACCCTTAGAAAGAGTTAGGTTACATTGGTCATTGGTTATATTTTACGGCCTAAAAATTTCCATTGCATGCATTTTAAAAGGGGAATAGAAATAACCATATTTGGATTGGAAAAAAAAAACAAAGAAATAGTAATTCAGTTTTTGGTTGGGAACTGTTTTTATGTTTGACACATTTTTGAAAAACAAAATAATGCGTTTGGATTTGTGTTTCTTGAAACGCATGCACATGCAACACAAAAAGTATATGCGCACAAAATGGTGGTTTGGCGCCAGTAAATGGAGCTGCCAAAAGCAGAATAAATGCGAATATTATGCCTTATGAGCAACTAAAGAGCTCAACATTCTACAGGGTGAATACAAATGGGATGTTAGTAAACAGTAAAATCTACCTATTAGCCATATTACGAAGAAGTAATTGGAGAAAACATGATTTTTTAAAAGGTTTTTCGAGTTGACTAACAACAATAGAGCAGTCTCAGTTGAAATTATTACTACGGCTGCGTACGCACCTGCGTGTATCGAGAGCATTTATTGGAAAAACGGCCTTTTGACCGCAGATTTTCAAAAAACACTACAAAATATCGCACTCAGCACATTTAACTCACTATAAATCACATTTTTGCAGGGATAAAATATTTAATCAACATCATGGCGTTTCATGTTTCATTTACGTCACATCAAGTATAGGATAATATTGATCGGCGGAGCGGGAGTTTCCTTCCATGCTAGCCATCTTAGACGAGTTTGCGCATTACGAAGGAACTACCTAGCATTGCTGCCTTGCTGCTTGCATCGACACAGCGTGAGCGACGTGACGTTATTATTCTGTTTGTCGCAGAAATGTATTTTTAGCATTTATCATGAAACCATTCTCAAATAATCTGAATCCCAACATCCACACGCACGTACACCAATAATTTTATAAACAATTAATTTCGAGTTGAGTTGAGTAAACAAATAGGGCGCTATCTTTTATTCAGCGGTGGATCCATCGGTAATCAGCCTTTCTTTGTCTAACTCCTAGAAAATTGGAATGTCTGTCTCATAATGCTGGCAGCAGATGGATCCATTGCTGAATAAAAGATCGCGCCCATAGTTTATGAAGTATGGTTTACATGTTGCGCCATCTATCGTTTAGTTATCGTTTGTCAATATATTTTAATGCCACGCAGCCATAATAATTTCAACGATCCCAATGCAGAAATAGCTGATGCGAGATCTGCGAGTTATCAAGCAGATAGATGGCGGCACCTCGAAAGCTGATTTTTATATTTGAGGTGAGAAAATATTTTTATTTTTTATTGAGCACAAGCACTCTAAATGATGTTTCAGTTTCATAATGTTATTTTAATATTAATAATTATAAATGCAACTTCTAGAAAATTTAGTTTTCAGTTCTGATGCATTTTATTCTGCTATAAACGTAGGGTTGCCACCTGTCCGGTTTCCACCCGGACTGTCCGGTTTTTCAAAGGTTTGTCGGGTGTCCGGAAGCATGATGAAAATGTCCGGGAATATCTGGATAACTATAATTGATAATATTTAATACTTAATATAAAATTTATAAAGGCGATTGCCGAACGCCTTAGGATATACCCAACTAATTTGTGAACGTTCCTTAAGCTTTCTCACTTGCGCGAAATTCGCTCTTTTTTGACATTGGGTACATTCAGGCGGTCCCAGCGGCTAAGCTCAGCAACTCAGCAGGAACTTTATTTTCGAAACAGGGGAGCAGCGTTCTCATTGGAACGAAATTTCTGTCTTTGTCGTCCGGCATAACACTGACAATGACAGAGCAATCGTTCTTATGAGAACGCTGTTCCTTGGTTTCGAGAATAAAGTCCCTGCTGAGTGGCTGAGTTTAGCCGCTGGGACCGCCTGAATGTACCCATTGCTTCGACAATTTGAGGTTTGATACACGCATAAAACGTCAACTTGTCGAAGCAAAAAAGAGCGGATTTCGCGCAACAAGAGCGAATCTCGCGCAAGTGAGAATGAGGCATTATACTTCTTGAATGACGGGTGTGTCACGATGAACGTCTCCGGTTTCCAGTTAGCGACGGAAAAGTGGACTTTTTCTGCCTAGGCAGAAAAGTTCTTTGCTTCCCATTCAACAAACGTTATCAGCGCAATAGACCTATCTATTTTACCAGACAAAGAGGTAATAATACGAAAACTTCATTAAATAAAAAAAAGACACAGAACACTCATTGCGCAAGACGAGGTAAAACGTACCAAATTATGTTAGACTTACGTATAGCAATCCGTCCTTCTTATTTGCACAGGATAAAAAGGAACCCAACAAACACAACTTATCGGCGCTGTAATGTTGCTGTATCACGAACACAGCCCAAGTACAGCACATAAATAGTTTTATCGATGCTGCGCAGCACTTGTATTGGGAATACTGTATTTTAGAAGTGCAGTATTTGATAGGCAGCGGCTTTGCAGATTTTGTATTGGAAAAGCGATAGATTATTTCGATCTGCCATGCGCATATTGATGCAACAACTGTTGTAAAATGTTAGTGCAGTTACTGTAAAGAAATGTGCCAATTTGCGCGAGCACAGTATTTTTTGCCGTAGAGTTGTGAGCGTAGCCATTTTGTTTTATTTTATTGTATTGTATTGTTTCACTGATGCAGGGCAGTGTTTTTGATTTATAATTTTTGTGGTGTTTTTCACGTGTCTTTTACCTGTGATTTGAATTACTACGTGTACAAGATGCATTATTTTCAACAAGAGCAAACAAGGTAGGTGAAAAATTGATACAAATAAACAAAAACAAAGGCCCACGTATTATCATAACCTACTAGGGGGCAGAAACACTGAAGAAGTATGTAGGAACATATTAGCCAGATTATTATCTAAAAATTCAACTCCTCAGCTGAACTGGACAGGGCGCCTTCAAAAAGCACAATTTTCAGAATATACCTATAATATCAACATCAATAAAGCAATTTAGGTAAGTTGATGCAAGGTAAAACGGTTTTTAAATTTTAACTCAATTTTGTCCTTATTTAGTCGATGTAAAAAAAAATAGAGCCAGTCAAAATGCGTCTCAATCAGAAGCTGAAAAAGCCACCAAAATATGGTTAACGAATAAGGAATATTATTGTTTAATGTCCCACTCCTCAATATATTCTATATACTTTAATTTGTTTTGTCATTTTTCAAAAATATCCTGTCTATATAAAATAAATTATGTCCATTAAATTTAGAGTGCCACAGGTAAATATACCTAAACGTATATTGGCTGCACAGTTATTGCGAAACAAATATGTACGACGTCTGCAAGAGCGCTGCGTTATTGCTGTGTAAAAATTGCCTAATGAAGAGACAGAGCTACTGCACAGTACTTGCGTCTATTTCTCAACGTGACTCCTTCAGTATGCGCGTGCGCGTACTTTCCACAGAAGATTTTAAGGTTAGGTTTTCCTGTTTTGTTTTGATTTTGAACTTGTACTTGTTTCGTAACGTAACATTGTTTCTACTGACCCTAAAGTTTCTATTCACTCCGTTTAGGGTAATTTTTGTAGTTACATATCTGTTGATTCGTATCGTGATGGAGGGAAACAGTGAAAACATTAAAAAGGGCTTATAGATAAGTAAAAGTGATTGAGTAAGTCTAATGAGAAGTAAGTCCAGAAGTGAAGATGTATCCAAATTTTGTAGATATGTATATGTCTGTACTTGGTGTTCCAAAACATTTTCAAATCAGGGCAATTTAAGCAGACATACCAAAAATATGCATGATTCGTTGGTGGCTGGAAGGAAAAAAACAATATTTCCTAGAAAAAATGATTTCTTTGTCGGCGATGCCCGGATAAACAAAATCAAAAAATTGATGCTCTTGGACTAAATTTATTCTCAATTCTTTATGTGTAGAGTTTTTGCAACAGTTTTTGCTTATCCGGGCATCGCCGACAGAGAAATCATTTTTTGAAGGAACCTCGATTATCTGTGGCGGGGACTATAGATACTTTCTTTTAGATTTTATGTGCATTTTGATTTTTTCTGTGTCAAAATAAATTTTTCACCCAAATACATAGAGGTACCTTTGTGTTTTATTTATTACAGATATAAATAGTTAAGGGCTAGATTGAGTTTCTTGCGCTAATTTTTTGCTAAGTAAAAAATTATCCTAAACGGGGTGGATAGAAATTCCAGAGTCAGTAGAAACAAAATTGGGGAATTTAGGTAACAACGTACAAGATCAAAATCAAAACAAAACAAAAAAACCTAACCTAAAAATCTTCTATGGTAAGTAGGCGCACGCGCATACTGAAGGAGTCACGTTGAGATGTAGACGCAAGTACTGCACAGTGGCTGTACTCAAATGCAGCATGAACAGTGCAGCGCCAGATGCCGGCCGGTGGGACATATATGGTCCGGGCTGATGCAGCTGCTTCGTCTACATCGCTGTACAACAAGTACAGCACAGTATCGCAGTTTTTGCGCAGCGGCTGACTTTCCGTGTTTGCTGGGAAAGGAGAAAAACCGCGTGTTGTGCAACGTATTTGTCAATGAAAATGTCAAACAACTTTTGAATGACACTTGTCAAGTTGAATATCAACTATAGATTTATTCTTGTCGGACCACGTGCAATGAACAAGGATAAAGAGACGCCCAGCGTGCAAAACGATCACCTCACACCTGTATTAGCTAGCCAATAAAAAGACATTGCCTCGTGTTGCGCGCGCATAACAGGTAAAAATAGATAGGTCTATTGATAAACATAAAAAAGTAGATAATGCGTGAAACTGTAACAAATTCGGAGAAAAAATTATATATTTTTCACACGGCAAAAGATCGGATTTAATGCCTTGGCTGGTTTCCTCGCTTCGCTTTCGGCTATGGAACACTAGTCGCGGCATTAAATATTGTGCTTTTCTGCCTAATAAAACAAATACTTATGTATGTATTGTGTCGTTCTCCCTGTTCACTTACAAATTACAAACATTGGATAAAAGAAGGCGGAATGCAGATATTATGACCCTATATATAGGATTGTTCATGGTTCTATTGAATGCTCGGGTGTAAAACGCTTTAGTGCAACAAAAATTAACAAATTTTCTATAAAAATTAGTTGATATATCCTCTATATGGTTGGTTTTGTATCAATTTAAGTGCGGATATTGACGTTTTTTGCCGTAGTAAGCGAAAATTCACAATTTTATAAAAAAAACCCTATTCCTATTTTACCATTACACCGCGGCAGAATAATAAGAATAGAGACTTGTTATTGAACCGCCGCAAGAATGACATGGACAATCCAACCGGCAAAAGAAAACAATATGGCGGCAATAGACAAACAATTTTTTTGGTTTAATTTAAATTATTTTAGGTTTAAATTATTTTTAGGTTTTACGAACTGTAACGAAACTAACCAAAAATATGCAAACTAACCCGTCCATGTAAACTGTGTTGTCAATCAGTACACTTATAACCAGTAAAACGAACTATAACGAAACTGACCAAAAATATGCCATCTAACCCAAAATAACCCGTCCACGTAATGCGTACTAGTCCTTGTAAGTTAATATTGAATTAAGAAAAACAAAAACAAAAACGCGTTTCGCGCGCTTCGCTTTTAACCAGTACACTTATAACCAGTAAATATTGAACGAACTGTAACCCAAACTAACCAAAAGTATGCAAACTAACCCAAACTAACCCGTCCATGTAATGCGTACCAGTCCTTGCATGTATTGAATTTAAGCGCGCTTTGTTATCAACCAGTAGTCCAGTACACTTTTAACCAGTATTAAATGAACTGTAAAAAAACTAACCAAAAATATGCAAACTAGGGGTCTGGTGAACATAAGGACCCACAGAATTTCACTTTTATTTTTTTTTTAGAGAAAACCTCTATTAGTATAGAACAGTTTAAAAGAAAAAAATCGCTGGATAACGCAATTTTGAAAGGAGGAAACGCATCAAAAAGAATAATAAAACAAGCCATTTACACAACATTTCAATGCTAAAACTCCACTAACATTACTAGGTACTTAGAATGTTGCCAAGTTTTTCCATTAACGTGAATTTGAAGACTCGTTAATTATTTCCACTTCGCATATATAATTTTTTTAAATAAAGCGTTTCATTGAAGGAAAATTAACCATAAACCAACTTAACTTTATTCACATAAATCTATAAATCTTCCAATAATAACAACAAAAGAAAAATCAAAAAAAAGAAAATAATTTTATCGAAATATGTATAAATACATAGGTAAGTGAAAAAAAAAATACACAAATGGATAGTGATCCTCTTCTCAACCTTTAACACAGATCAATGACTAATATCTGT